TATACAGCTGTTACAGTTTCTGTCAGCGTGTGGACTTTGGTGTCTATTTCACTAGAAAGGTACTTCGCAATCTGTCGACCATTTCGATCTCGCCAATGGCAGACAATCTCCCATTCTTACAAGGTGATCGTTAGTATATGGGTGGGATCCCTGCTGATTATGTTGCCTATCGCTGTTCTAAGCCGTTTGCTTCCTACCAGAAAACCAGGCAAGTGAATTTGTGTAGCTTATACGAAAACTGTAATACCATGAATTTCTAAAACCAACCTTAATAAAATCACCTGCTACACATGATATACACATATAACAGTAATAACATTATGTATTAGTGAAACGTTTTATCTAAAAGACGCATAAAATACATATATGAAATTTCAGGTAAGCATGCAGAAATATAACAGACTACAAGTAGTATTTGTTTGTTGGATTTCGCGCAAAGCTATACGAGGGTTATCTGCGCTAGTCGTCCCTAATTGTAAAGTGATAGGCTGGAGGGAAGACAGCTAGTCATCTTCACTCACCGCCAATTTTTGGCTACTTTTTTCAGACAAAATAATGAATTTGATTGTCACTCTCATAACGCACCTACAACCCCAAAGTAAGGAAAGCAATTTTTTGGCGGTAATTAAACGCGAATCACGGAAACTCCACAATATGGCACGCTAAACATTGGAACACTATCGATTACACAGGCAATAGTAACATTAATGTTATAATAGTTATATTCCATAATCGGATTTGATTTAAAAAAAAATGTAATTCACTTTTAACTTTAATGACATATAATTATTTGAATATTAAATGTATGTTATCTTTTAACTCTTTACACACGTGATTATGTAAGTGTGAGTTATTAACATAACTACCGAAGGCACGTACAGTTTGTTCGGAAACAAAATAATGTGAATAATTATCGTAAAGGAATTTTAACGTCTTAAAATTACAAGTATAAATAATTAATCTTCGTATTATTTTGTAAGTAGGAAAATAAAATATAAAATTGTCAATCAAATTTAACTACGTTATGTACTTATTGCTAAGCTTACCTCCCTTCCTCCCACCAAGTGGCTCAGGGATAAACCCTGAGAAAGTACATGCTAAAAATCGGGTTTAATGTCCGTGGTTGTCACAGCACAGAGAGTCCATTGGTTTTCTCTATGATACACTTGAAATATTATTATTTTAATTAATCACTAGTGCCACCTAGTGTCAGCTCAAACATACTTGATTATTAATAAGTTGTCATATACAAAATCGACTGCCAAGCAAATGTATAATCCACATAGCACGCGTCCTTCAAAACGGAGTACAAAAGACATGACTAAAATAATATTATCTTTAAGATTTATAAATAAATTCTATAATATTCATGATAGTCTAATGTGTGGCTTTGCGCTAACACAAACAAGTCTTGACTTTTATGTTTCAGCTTTTGTAATCACGTTTTTGTGGTAACTAGCTGGTGACCATAAAGGTCATAAATTGGATGTTTATGACATCATTAGGTAATGGAGAAGTTTCTACTTTTATCAAAAGCTAGCATAACGCAGTATTTTGTTTTTCTTTAAATGGTTTATTTGTTTGTAATTAAGCACAAAGCTACACAATGGGCTATCTGTGCTCTGCCCATCACGGGTATCGAAACCCGGATTCTAGCGTTGTAAGTCCGCAGGCATACTACTGTGCCACTGGGGAGCTTCTTTAAATGAATAAATAGAAAATATATTATAAATAGGAAAATTATTTTTTATCTTCCTATTTTAATTCAATGAAAAGTAATCAGGGTCATAATTAAAATTATTTAAAAAATGAAAATCATGTCCTTGAGTTACTTAATTTCAAATATAAGTATAAAAGGCTTTGTAGTTTAATACTTTTCTATATATTTCCATTATTTTTCTCAAAAGTATAAATTATTATTGGGTTTATGTAAGCGAAGACTACATTCAAAAATCACTATTAAAATAGATTATTGCATCGTTATATCATAATTATGAAGTAAGAACCTATGAACGTTATATTACATAGTGTCAAATGTATTCTTTATTATTTTATGTATTATATATCTTCAGTCTGATACAGTACCTAATAATATTTACTTTACCGAAATAAAAAATATCTTTATTAATCAGCGATTACTGCTATAGAGGGTGGAGTACGTAATATATATAAACAATTTTTGAGTCTCCTCATGTCGTTACAGTCCATGTAGCCATGTCCGCTCATTCTTTATCTGACGATAGTGCACCTAGATACTGACAGCGTACTTTTCATTTAAAAAAGCTCCATTGTAAGGACGTCATGTCCAAAGCTGACAACTCCTTCCTATAGGGGTTTCTATAATCCATCTAGTGAAGGAGTATGACAGTTTCTCAGCGCCCGTTTCAACAGTCCGATTGTACAGAAATCTATAGGCATTGCGTCCGGTGACTTGACGGGGTACGTCTTCGTTTGAAATAGTATGACAACCGTTTCATTCTCCAACTGTATTAATTTTGTGACTGTATAGCCGGAAGCTTTACGTTTGTGAACCTATTCACTGTTGACTTCGTTCCCGGTCAAAAATATTGTTGCTTAGGAAACGAGTATCACTTTTACCACTGCCTTTATATTCATGGATTTCCGTGTGTTACAAGACGCCACCATTTCTCACAACAACTGGGATACGACTTGATGCAGATTTCTTTCTCGATGGTCATCGTGTCCCAAGTTGATCCATATTCACCGACTTGGAAATTCTAATCCCCGATCTGAGCACATCTTGATAACCTGAACGTATGATTATTTTGCATCGAAATGGGATGTTACATACCCTTCTCCATAGTGATCAGTTATCGTGGCATAAGACTACCTAGGTACCGCAAAATAATGTGAAATATAGTTCTGATACAATCCGTTTCACCGTGAATTTACTTTGGGTGTAGCCGTCAAGTGACTTGCTGATTTCATATTCAGAATCATTTAATATAACGTATTCAACTGTTTAATTCAACAAACGGTTAATATGCATATGAGCTTACGGCATGTATTAAAAAGTTTCATCCAACATACATGGATTAAAGACAATGCGTTTTTGATTTGGCAAATTGACCATGTTATGCGATACTAAAACATAAACTTTTTTAGCACTCATTAGAAAATTGACCAAATGTTATAAGTTCAACTTTTGAGTAAACTAAAATGTTTCCTGTTTTTATTAGTTTCAGAAAGTAGGTAAAACTTCATACTAAACTCTTTGAATAATTTGTTAATTACTTTCATATTGTATTAATTATGACTTAATTTTTATTTAAATGAGATAGGCACAATAGAAAGAGAGAAAGGTCTTAGAAAAAGATAAATATACCGTTGATATTTAATGTTTGCTATTCAACGTCACAAGGAAGTGTAACAAATTTAGTCCAAAATCAAAGTTTTCTGTAGGTGTTCCGAACAATAATTCAGTTCCGCTTCATCCTCACGAAATGCTTTTTATACATTCTTTACGAATCTAAATTTGGATTCCGATCACGTCAGTTTGTTATGAATTTCCCGCAAAGCTACGCGAGGGCTATCTGCGCTAGCCGTCCCTAATTTAGCAGTGTAAGACTAGATGGAAGGCATCACCTCCCACCGCCAACTCTTGGGTTACTCTTTTACCAACGAATAGTGAGATTGACCGTCACATTATAACGCCTCCACGTCTGAAAGGGCGAGCATGTTTGGTGTGATGGGGATTCGAACCCGCGACCCGCAAATTGTGAGACGAGCGCCCTAACCACCTGGCCATGCCGGGTCTACGGTAAAATAAACAGAGATTTGACTGAAGTGCTGCAAATGCTTTATATTATAACACATACAGCGTGATATAAAACACGTTTTACATCTTATTAAATGTGCTTTTAAAGGCTGAAATGTACTTCTATTTATTTCAGAAAAATACAAGTGTCGAGAAAAGTGGCCTGATGTGATATCAGAGCGAGCCTTCAACTTATGTCTAGACATTGTGCTGTTAGTTGTTCCACTCTTTGTCATGACACTGACGTATTCCTGTGTGGTCTGTACCTTATACCAGGGAATTAAATTAGAGGAATTGGGTCATAGTGGTAAGTTAAAAACATGAAACTCTAAAATATGTGGAGTTTTTTTATAAAATAAAGACACTGCCTCTCCCTACATCAGTGTTTTACTTACGTCTAAGAAAGTAATCTAACCTCTTTCTCCTGAAGTAAGAAATGCCTTCGCATTTTCTGAATTCCTTTTGATATTGCCTTCTTCCTCAGACCTAAGAAGTCCTAGTAAAGAGTAGTTTTAAGTTTCTGCTCTATTGACAAAATTACAACAATTTTTTTACTGTACACCATTTATATCATAAGAATCAGTGTTTCTGTTCTAGTCAGTTCGGAAAGTTTAAGAAAGAAAAGTAACGTAGGTTTGCAGTAAAATAAAATGAAGTATTATTACTACTTGACACGAAAAGTGTGTAAATGAACTAATGTTTAGCTTTGTACTCCTAATGAAAAATATCCGTTTTTGATTTTATATTACTTTTATAAGAATGTATAGTTATATTGATGAAATGTAACAAATATATCATCAGTTCGACGTATTTTTTGTTTTTAATAGCAAAACAAAATAAATTATATTATCATCTTGTCTTTTATAAGTTCTTTTCCTTGTTTTATATCTCATAATAAATATTTTTACTGTTGATGTAGGACTCGTTATGCGTATGATAAATTAGGTTCTACTTAACACTCTTGACAGTCTAATAAATATCTCTAATACAGTTTAGGTTTTAGTTTTTTTGTCACGGTTATGCATATTTGGGAAGCATTGTCTGATAAACCTTTTTTTATACAGCTTGTTTTGTGGCGACCGCCAGCTTTGATTTTTTTCCTTTACTGTTGTTGGATAAATGGCCGTTCCTTGTAAAACGTTGTGTATAGAAAATTATAAATTGAAGTGTTTGATGCCATGAGGTTTTGTTTACTCTGAGTTATTTAAACTTTACTTCTTTCTCCTTCACATTCACCAAATTATTCGGTATCTTGGAGTAAGTTTAATTTATTTTTTGATCTCTTACTTTCTGTTAGACGAGTCAAACCCCAATCTCAATGCTGGTCAGCCATGTTTGACATCAGAAAAACATCCACTAACTAGAAGTAGGGTAGTTCGGCGCAAAGAACCTTCGAAAGGTTCAATAACGGATAGAATTCGTCCAAGAGATAATGCTGAATGGCTATCAATGGAAAACCTTAGTCCAAAAGATGACAGACCACATACAATGTTGGGTAGCTTCTTTAGGCAAGATAAGACAAAAAGTGGCCATATTTTGTGTCCAAAAACCAACATTAAAAAGACAGAAGAAGAAAAACGCAAAGTGGTCAAGATGCTGTTTGTCGTTGTTTTGGAGTTCTTCATTTGTTGGACGCCACTTTACGTCATAAACACGTGGTCTCTGTATGATCATCAAAGTCTGTATAGCAAAGTTGGGCCTGACACAATTTCGGCAATTCAGCTTCTAGCTTACACCTCTTCCTGTTGTAACCCAATCACATACTGCTTCATGCACAACAAGTTCAGACACGCCTTGCTGGCTATCTTTGGATTGAAGAAGGTCAGGCGCCCAAGTCAGGCTAGTGACCTTGCTACTTTAAACAGTGGATTCAGTCTACGAAACTCCACGAGGACAGGTAAGTTGCGAAATATCGTATGTTCATCAGACAATTACAAAAATAGAATTTTGTGAAAAAATGAAAGCTTAATACTAATTTAATTTTTTTTATTTGGTTACAGTACTTGTTTGTTTTAACGTAAAGCAAGAATATAGGCTTTCCATCCTTGTCTATCACTGGGATATAATCTCGAAGTATAGTATTATAAGCCCCTAAACTTACCTCTAAGCTTCCGGGGTACAATTTGGTTACAAATAGAATGGAATATTTTTAAGTATGTAAAAACTAAAAATTGTCGATTTAAAACATACCTTTCTACTGAATGGTATATTTAAAAAATTTAGCATAATGTTTAGCTAGAGTAAGAATTGTGTAAGTAAAAATAAATGAAAAATATATTTGTAACGGCACATATATTTCTTTCGTAAAGTAATTTCCTAAAGAATAATTATAGGACGTATTAAGTCTATAGTTACCCGACAGATGGAACCACATGTGTAACCAGCTTTGCATCTCTGAAAAGGGTTGAATGTTTTAATATCTTATAAATAATATCTTATAATATCTTATAAAGCACAGTCTTTCTTGTGCAAAATATATCACATGTATATACATACTTAAAATAATCTTTCATTTTAGTCAAGAAAATATACTCTGTTTTTCTAAAACCCATTTTCATCCCCTAAGAGTGGAGTAAATCATTGTACATTATTAAAATATTGAATGGTGCCAGACCATGAAGATATGAATTAGACAAAAACAGATATAAACAAAAAATAATCAATAAAACACAAACCTAAATAACTGAGAACAATTTCACAATTTAATCATTTGTCAAAGCCTCCATTTCTATAATGATTATAAATACCAAATAACAATTTGTTTGTAACCAAGTGAGCAATTTTCTTTTAGAAAAAGATCAGTTATTTATTGAGTATATCAAATGAATTTATAACTCTACTATTTCGGAACTTCCAATCTGATTTTCTTTCATTTTATTCTTCCTTAGATGTTTTAGAGCGAATCGACGACAAATTAGTTTAGACCATCGCTATCGCCCTCTAAAGGAATACTTCATAACCAATCGAGATGAGCAGACTTGAGGTTATGACTGAAACAGAGGAAGTAATGAAAATTCATTGCAGTTGTAATACTTTTGGTGTATAACATATTACTTGTCTTTGCTTCTGTAAATCTGGCAAAGTAGCAGTGGGCATGATTAAAAATAAGACAAGATACCAATTTGATTGTTCACTAGTTTTCATTTGAGATTATGAATATAGTTTATATTGTATTCACAATTATCATTATGAAAGTTGCTATTTTTAAAAAAGTAATTTTATGGATTTTATTTTATATCTTACGTCTTGTTTGTACTTGTTTGACGATTGTACGGAATAGTAATGATTTCGTCTTTCACATTCTCTCCGTCAGTAATTACACTTCCAACTGCGTAACTCGGAGATACGTTACATTGTTGCTATGGGAACCTAATCCGTTCCAGCACATTGGATGCCAACAAAGAAATTCTTCACAGACAAGAAATGGAAACGACTGAGACTTATTATAACAAATAGATTTAATTTCTTTTTGACAAGCAACGTCTTTAGTCAGAAGATATATTTGATTACTGTAGCTCTGAATGAAAATACAAGTTCCAGGAAAATAGTTAAGTAAATATGTCTACCTAATATTGGTTGCTAACAACCGATAACGTTATAAGTAATTACATTAAGTCGTATTCGTTATAATGTTTAAATTTTTCATTATACAGCTTCTGTATTTCGACTTGTGAAGATTATTTCCTACTGTTGGCTTATTATAAGCTTAAAACTAACCAACTGCCGAAAACTGCGAGGGTTCACAACTGACGAAACAATGCATTCTAATCATCATTAGAACAGTGCGTTTAATTAGTTACGCTAGTTGCTGGGTATATTTTTAGTTCTAATCTATGTAGGTAACTTAAGTTCATCAGAAGTTAGTATTGGCTAACCAAGTCCACTAAGTTGGTCGAATATCATCAGACATTTGTGGGATTATGGCCGAAAATATTGTTAACAGCGAGAATACCCAACTGATTGTTCAAGACACTACAATCGTTATAGGTTTTAGTTTATGATGCTTTGAGTTATAACATTAGTTACTGTCAATCCGCTTCTTTTAAAGGACAAGCAAAAGTACCCGTCCCCAGTGACAGGAAGTTTAAGTTAATATATGAATTTAAATTATTTCATGGCCTTTAGAAATGATAATTATGTTGCATTCTTGTTTTCACTTAGAGCCAAAGCTCTGAACTACATATACCGCCCACCGAGAAAAGTAATAGTTGCAAATATAATACTTTTTTTTATTCCTGTAAACTCCCAGTGGAGCATAGGGTCGTAACAACACCTCACCAACAGAAAGTTGTTGTTGCAGTTACTTGTAGCAGGTTGATTTTTACGGGGTGGAGTTGCTAGCCCCGCGCCCAACCCTCCTCCTTTCTCATCCTGGACTTGGGACCAGACAAAGTCGGAGGTTGGCGTGTTTGGTGTG